ACTGGAGTTCAGACGTGTGCTCTTCCGATCTTTTGATCCTGGAGCAGCACACATATCAAGCACCCAGTGGCCAGGTTTAACATCTAGGAGCAAAGGTGGTATCATACTAACCGCCTCCTGACGATTAATATTTCCCTACGTGCGCAAAAATAAAATTATTTTTCGAAAAAAGGAGCACAATAAAAAAACTTTCAAACCTAAATCTAAAACTAAAACTAACCACTTCAGTTTCTGCAACCAACCATTTATGAAAATTTTGAAAAACAATACTTTTTTTAATTGTATTCCTTGGTGCGGAGTGTTGCCACCCAAGTCCATCCGGATACCTGATTGGTAATTAAATAAATTTCAGAAATATTAATTATAAAATCCAAATAAAATTTTCGATGATTTTACCAAAGTAAAGGCCTCGGAGCTTCAGATCTATTATCACTACCAAATTGAATTTTATTCAATTCTGGAACGTGAACATTTACCATTAAATTACGTAATTCAAATGCATTACTTTCAAGTTAATAATAAATTGAGTTTTATATTTAGAATTTAATTAATAAATGTTGATTTGAAATGAATGAAGGCATGAATATAAATAAATGTATCATATGATTTATACCTTCGACTCCCGGTAATACGAAAAGAAGTAGGAAGAGTAGTTTTATTTACTTCCATAAACTTCTCCCATTCTGTTTCAGGTATAATATTTTGAGCCTTCAGAATAAATAAATTATTTGATCAGATAGGATTTATCAATTTCAATTCCCAAAATTGTTTAATATTCAACACGATAACCCGTTTTTTAACGCAGCAATTACTAAAAAGTGCAGCGACCACTTCTACTTTCACTTGTGAATTTCGATAACTAACAATAACAGTTTACCTTGTAAAACCTTTCAAAATTTACATTCTCTCTAACAATATCATCAAAGAGACTTTTAGTATTATCTCTTTCTCGCGGCGCCTCCTGGCGACTTTTCTTGTTTCCACCTCGCCTTTTCTTTTTCCAAGTCATTAAGGCGAAAAATTTGCAATAATCTAATTTTGGACTTTTTATAGGATTCCTAGTATGTAAGAAATCTTTTGTCTGATTGGCAGATAAATTTATTGAGCTTATATGTACTATCAAAAATTTTTTGGTGCCCAGAATAAAATCAATAAGGTATTTAAGTTTGAAAATAATTCTATGAGAATATCACGTACGTAATTAAATTACTTTGTAAAATAGGCTTTTCTATTTTTATTTTATTTATTATAATTTAGATTTTTAGGTCCCTACTTTATTTACAAAATGTTGGTTCTAATAGATTACCTATATGCTTGCCACAATCCACCCAAACCCAAATTTTAAGTGGAATCCAAAACTGGACCAACCTTATTTGGGTTGTTATAATCCCAAACTCTGGTCAAATCCCATACGGGCGAGTTTTGTGATTTTGATTAAAACTAGCCAATGGATTATTTTCCAGTACCCACGTGCTATGAAAATTAGTAAATTTTTATTATAATTTTAAATATTAACTTTACTAAAAAACAACTTGCTACTCTAGTTTATTATTTAGAAAATTATAATAATTTATTCTGACTAGATAATAGTACTGTAGTACTGTAATAATAAAGAATATTTTATTTAAAATTGTTATATTCGTTAAGATATCTAATACTTCTTTAAAAATAATCGATTTTATAATAGATCTCGATTTTACAACCAAAATAAATCTAGGAATTAAGATTATAACTAATGAAATTAGTTTAAAAGCAAAAAGTTAATCTTGTAATAAATATTATTATAATAATTGTTTTTTTTTTTTTGGTATGTCCTGCTACTGTTTTATTAAGGTATTAACCAAGAAAAAATTACAAAAATTCTTGACTATAGTTATTTCTTTAACCGCAACAAGTGACTCACTTGATTTAAAAGTCCAGGTGTGACATTGTCTAGTGGCCGTTTGGTTCCTTTTGGGCCTTAACTTATTAGAGACATGAATCCTTCGATCATTGGCCGATGTCATATGCCATATCAGTATCATCTTTTCTTTTTATAAAATGAAATACAAACACAAATTCAAAGAGCAAAAAAGTAAAAAAGGGGTGATACCTTAATATTTAAATTTGATTTACCTAAAACAAATAAA